CTCCCCTAACTTGTCACAGTGAGAAAGAGAAGTATTGGGTTGTCAGGAATGTCATGGTGTATTTTTGCTAGAAAACTACATCATGATTTCCCAGACAACCTAAGACATGCAGAGCTTCTGCTGATTTGTTGAATATAAATGTATACACTCTGCTCTTAATTTTTAAAAGTATGTTTATTGCTTTAGTATATGAATAGGTTACAATATATAAAAAATGCTGCAACATCTTTAAAAATATTCATCTTCTAACATAATACATAAAAAATATGTAAGATTTTAAATGACATATAATACTGAATGAAATGTGGATGTACTTTCTACATTCTATTCCACTTTCATCTAGGTAATTATGCCAACCCTCACTCATATTAATGGGAAAATTTTCATGAAAATATGATAGGATGCACTATTTCTCCATAATATGACAAAGTCATTTTAAAATAGATGAATACAAAAGAATCATATGTATAAATACTGTTTTTATTTTTAATTTTTCTTTAAATTTACCACAGGTCACATGAGCTCACCAGAGAGAGACAGAAAGGCAAAGAGAGAGAGAGGGAAAGTAAGAAATCATCCTTCAGAGGGAATGGCCACATCACAATCCCTTCTCCTCATTCTTCTCTCAGGAGTTTGGGCACTCATGCACACACACCTGGCATGTTTTTTAAGCTGCTGGTCAAGGACTCAGGGAGTCGGCCCATATGAGATCTAGCCGCTTTAATCACCATGCCATTGGCTGGCCCTAAACACTGTTTTCAATAGTTATTTTATATATATATATATAGTCATGACTTGCCCCTAATTCTCTATCTTCATATCATCACTGTGCCTCACCAGAGGGTAGAGAGAGATAAAGAATAAAATGAAATGCAAGGATGAGGTTGGGTTTAAAACACTTTGAAGATGACCAACTGTCTCAGTTTGCTCAGAACTGAGGTGTTTTCCAGGAAGCAAGAATTACAAGTTCTTTAGCAAACCAAGACAGCTGGCCACTGTACTTGTTTCACAAATAAGCTTTTTTAAAAATTTCAGTGAGGGACCAGCAGTTAGTGTAATGGCTATGTCGCTGAACTTCCCATGTAGTCGACTGCGGTTTGAGTCCTGGACCCAGTGGCTTAAACTCACACCAGGCACATGTGCATGTATGCCCAAGATCCCGAGAGGAGAATGAAGGAGAAGGGATTGCTGCATGGTCATCCCCCCTGGGGGGTGATTTCTCACATTCTGTCTCTCTTTCTCTATCTTTCTGGCGAGCTTACACGCCCTATAGCAAAAACCTCTCCCCCCAAAATTTTTTTTCGCGATCAGTAGTTAGCGTAATGGCTATGTCACTGGACTCCCATGTAGCCGACTGTGGTTCGAGTCCCAGACCTGGTGGCTTAAACTCATGCTGGGCACGTGTGCATGCGTGCCCAAGATCCTGAGAGGAGAATGAAGGAGAAGGGATTGCTGCATGGTCATCCCCCCTGGGGGGTGATTTCTCACATTCTGTCTCTCTTTCTCTATCTTTCTGGCGAGCTTACACGCCCTATAGCAAAAACCTCTCTAAAAAAATTTTTTTTTCAATGATATAGAAAGAAATAAAGTAAGCCTAAGAAAGAGGTCATGAGGGCCACTGTGATGATACAGTGGCATACTGCATGAAATGTAGTGGAGAGCAACACAGGTAAGACGGTGGTTGCAGTGGGAGAGCTTATATTCCAATTCAAGTTTACCTCTTACTCACTGAGTGACCTGGACCATGTAATTAATTCTTATGTGCCTCGATTCATAAAATAGAGGTAAATAATAGTAACAATAGTGTGATGGTTTCAAGAATTAAATGAAATGCTGAATGTAGAACTTACCATACTGTAATGATTCAATAAAAATATTAACTTTTTTTTTAGAGAGATTCTTGCTATAAGGCACTTGTGTTTGCTGGAAAGACATAGACAGAAAGGGAGAAATCACACCCCATCAAGAGTTGGGGGAGGATGGCCATTCTGCAATCCCTTCTCCTCCATTCTCCTCTCGGGATCCTGAGCACACATGCACACGCACCTGGCGTGAATTTTAAGCCACCCGCAGTAGACTACATGGGACTCCAGCAACATGACCATTATGCCGTCTGCTGGTCCCCACATTCGTTTTTTTAAACATGGAGCGTTAAAGAGTCAATTTCTAACTTACAAAATGGTGTGGGCTCTTCTATTGAGTTGTTGGGAAAGTCATGTTGCATTTTTGCATATAAAAATACCTCATAACTTTCCTGACAGTCATTAATAGATGACACTGTATTTTAAAGGAAATAACAAGTCCAGGAATGAAACCTTACAAATACCATGTGTATACAGTGTCATTTTATTTAGATGACTGACATTATGCTTAAACAAAGAACAGAGACAGCGACTCCCAAAGGCTCTAATGACAGCTACAGTAAAATAAGCAGTTCTGTCACTAGCTCCTACTTCCCTCATTAGCATGGGCACTCAAACTCAGTTTAAGTATGGAGACTGC